TATTCAATTGTGAACAGGAGGATGATTAAATTCAAATGCAATGATCATGATAGGGTGAGGGCAGTGTGTGCAAGAAATTGTAACTAGGTTTGTTTTGCTTCAGCAGTGAATGGTAGTGAATGGGTTCAAGTGAAGAAATTGGTTGATGAGCATGATTGTGGGATAGTTGATCACAACTTTCATGCTAACTCAACATGGTTAGCTCAGAGATATGCTACTTAACTGTCTAGAAAGCATAATTGGGATATGAGAACTTTTAAGCAGCATGTACAAGAAGATTTGTCTGTGATAGCTTCTAAATCCCAAATATATAGGGTAAGGCAGAAGGCAACATTCATATCTGATGGGACTTATGAAAAACGTTATGAATTATTATGGGATTATGCTGCTGAATTAAGAAGGACAAATGTGGGTAGCACAGTCATTATCAAATGTGAGTTGGAGGGTGAAAGGCCAAGGTTTCAGAGGATTTACATTTGCTTGACTGCAGTTAAACAAGGGTGTTTGCAGGGATGTATGCCAGTTATAGGATTTGATGTTTGTCATATAAAGGTTCATCACCCTGGACAATTGTTATCTGATGTTAGTATGGATCCTAACAATGGCATATATCCTATTGCATATGAAACATGGTCATGGTTTTGTCAACTATTGGCAGAGGACCTTGGAATCGAAAACAGCAGCAAATATGTCTTTGTCACAGACAAGCAAAAAGACTTGATTGATGCAGTACATGATCATTTTCCAAATGTTGAGCACAGACACTGCCTCAAACACTTAGAATCAAATTTTTTGCTTGCTGGTCACAAAGGATTGTTGTTGAAATTGCAAATGGAGAAAATCACAAGGAGCACAACCATCCTATGGTGGGATGCTGAGATGAAAAATATGAGACAGCTGAGCCAAGCTGCATTTGATTGGGTGACGACCTTAGACCCATCACAATGGTGTAAAGCTCACTTAAAAACTCATTCCAAGTGTGACATCATTTTGAATAATATGTGTGAGGCTTTTAACGGTGCCCTTGTAGAAGTACGAGACAAACCTATTTTAACCATGCTAGAGAGAATTAGATACTATATTATATTGTTGATGGCAACTAGAAGAGCATCTTGTGTGAAATGGAAACATGTCATTGGTCCAAGGATTTTTGGGATTTTGGAGAAAACGAAGAAAGAATCATCTTTGTGCATTCCAAAAGCTTGCTAGGGAGAGTTTATATGAGGTCAAAAACCATGATAGAAGTCAGGTTGTGGTTGATTTGGCAAGGCATTGTTGTTCATGTAGGAGATGGGATATTACTGGGATCCCATGCAAGCATGCTTGTGCTGCAATTGGCCAATTAAATGGGGATAATATTGCTTATGTTGATGCTTGTTACAAGAAGGAGGCCTTTATGAGAGCTTATAGTCCAGTGGTTCATCCAATGACAAGTGAAGACTTGTGGCCTAAGTGTCATAGGTCTCATTTGATGCCACCACTTTATCACAAATAACCTAAGAGACCAAGGAAGAAGAGGATGAGGTCGGCAGGTGAACAACCAAGCAAATCTAATCCTACAGCTACCAAGTTGCAGAGGTATAACTTGGAAACCAAGTGTTCATTTTGTAGACAAAGAGACCATAATAGGAGGAGCTGCCCTAAGGCAAAAAAAGGCGGCAGCAATCAGGTTTGTCTATTCCAAAAAGACATTGGCAATGCATTTTTGTTTTGGATGTTTATTATTTATTTATTTTCAAGTGATTCTCTTCTTATGTTAGGTTTCATGTAAATGAAAGGTTCAGAAATCTGGCCAAGATACGACATCAACCAAAAGGGTTACAAGACAATCAATAACTAAGCAACCTGTAAGTGACTTTATTTTTATTGATATTAAGAGGAAGATGCATGAAATGTAGTTGATGTAAATTGGAATCATTTTCAATTTTTAGGTGAGAAGAAGATTGGAAACTGGCCAGTGTTCTTAAACTCCACATAGTTTTGAAACAGGCCAAGCTTCTCAAACTGCCCCACCTTCAGTACCTGCCTAAGCATCTCAAATTGGCCAAGCTTCAGAAACTCCAAAAAAAAAAAAAAAAGAGGTTTAAGTCTCCTGCAAAGAGGATTAAATTCCCCAAAAAGAAGGATCGTTCTCAAACTCTGCAAGACTTTCAATCTGTGCAAGGAGCTGAATCTGTGCAAGCTTGTCCAGTTTCTCAAACTGGCCAAACTTCTCAACCTACCCAAACTTCTCAATCTGTGCAAGGATCTCAACCAAGTGCGAGCTCATCACACCCTTTTGTCAGTGGTCCAAGCAAAAAGAGGTTCGAATCTCCTACCAAGAAGAAATTTACCAATCGGAAGGATTTATTGGATGGTTATCAGCCTTGGAGATTCTGATCATGTGCAAGTGTTTTGTGTTTTGTTAAAATGCCTCTTATGAAGACTTTTTCATTCCACTTTTGTTTTGCATGTACAACTGTTAAGGACAAGTGTTAAGGACAACCCTTTCAAATGGGACTATTGATTGAACTATTATTTTGCAAGTCCAACTATTAAGAACTTTATTAGTAATGTTATAAACTGTGAGGATTTGATTAGTGTTATAAAACTCATAATTGTCTGTTATGAACTGTTGCAAGTGTTTGTGGTATTGTTGATTTGGTAATGCTTTTCATACCATTACATATGGGGTCAAAATCCAATAAGTAACTCCCACATTGTGTTCAACAACCACATTCATTACATAAGTACCAACACATTGTTACATCCAGTTGTAAATTCAAACCATGTTCCTCCATCATTACATAGCTACCAAGACATGATATTTTACATACAGTTGCAAAATACAGACTTGTACAATTTGCCTAATTCCTCCATTGCAATGGCCACATTTTGTGCCAAGTTCTTACAAACATTGCCAAAACAACACCACCATTACTAAACCCCATGAAAGAATAAGCCAACCCATTAACTTTCTTTCTCTTGCTTGACAATGTCCAACGTCCTTTTCAAGTTCCTTCAATCTTCTAAGTAGCCAACTCAACAGAGCCTTCTCTCTATGTGGAAATTCAACATCCACCCAAACAAAAAACCCACATCCTTTTTTCCTCCTCTGCATCAACCATTGATACCAATTAATAAAAAAAATTAACAGGATTCACAAACTTTCAACAACATAACTTACCCCTGATGAGTTTGGACAAACATGGAATCTTCGAAGTGGGTTCACCTCAGTCCATAAAGTTTGTAAGCGAGCTATCTTCCCACAAAAGCAACGCGGTGCCGCCACATCCAACTCTTCTCCTCTGTCAACTATTTCAGTCTTTATATTCAATTTTCATGGAACCCAACCTCTGATTTCTAGGGTTTTAGAGGAAGCCAATTTGGGGTTTTTTGGTTCGATAGGCAGCTGAGATCAATTGGAACGTTTGATCTATATCATATGTTAGAGGTGGGCTCCACATGTACACGTCACACCCTCAAATTGGTAGGAAAAATTCCAGCTTAGTTGAATGGACCAAACTACCCCTGCCACGTCATTGGTTTAACGGAATTTGGAATGACGTTGACGGAAAGTGGTTAAGTGAAACACGAAACATTGGTCAAGGGGGCAAAGTGGGTCACTTTAACTTTGAGGGAGTAAAGTGAGAATTGACCAATGTTCCAGGGGGCACTGTAGCATTTAAGCATTTGTTTTATGAATTGGAAGTGTTACAAATGTATTTACCAAAAGAGACAAAGACATCCATCCAAGTTCTTGAGTTTGTAAAAGTTGTGGACTGTTTTTCAGATGTCTTAGTTGCTTATAGAATTATATTGATTGTGGCATCTGCATAAAGCAGTTTTTCAAAATTAAAATTAATAAAATCTTACTTGCATTCTACTATGTTACAAGAAAGGTTGAATGGATTGGCAATCTTACGCATTCAAAAGAATATGTTAGAAAAGCTTGATTTTGAAGGCATTGTTGATGATTTTGCTTCTCAATATGCTAGAACATCAAGAATTTTTCGGTAATTATTTGTACTTTTTAATGTTATTGTTCATGTTTTTTGGTTTGTAGATGGTGCAGAGGAATTCAAATTATTTATTTGTGTGCAATTGTGCATTGAAGAGCAACTGAGCCACGTGAGAACTTTTATACAAAAATATGTTGTTTTGTTGACAAGTTATAAGCTATTTGGCTATGGACCTAAATATGGTTTTTGTTGTTTATCGTTCATGTACTTTTGCTTTGTTAGTTGAATGAAATTATTATGTTTAAACCAAAAAGAATGAAAAAAAAAAAAATCTTATTAAGCTTTATTGTATACTAAAGAGGGGTCTCATTTAATTTATTGCTCTAGGCCACACAAAAGTAAAGAAAGGACCTCATTTAATTTGTCGCCCGAGGCTTAGGCTATCCAAAAGTCAAGACCGGTCCTGACAAAAACAAGAGATTGTTTAATCATCTAATTGTAAGAAAACAAATGGGTGATTGCATCATGCCTGATAAAATGTTGAAAAGATTGTGATGATTTCTGTTCATAATTCAATTCTGCGGTGGACCTAAAAGAGTGATTAGTGTAACTAAAAAAAATCTATGCACATATACACTTCATACAAATCAACAAGTGTAACTAAAAAAAATCTATAATGAGTGAAATAAAAAAGTGAAATAAAAAGCGATCATATTAATCATATGTAAATACTATATATTATGATACAAAGAGCCTGATATGGCTCCATTAAGCATGCATGCGCTTTTCTCAAAGTGCATACCCCTTCAAAAGAAGTGCATCCTTTAATTATTCTCCTACATTTGTTAATTGACCAGCGCTCCATTCCTAAATGTAAACAAAATAATTAAACCCAAAAATAAAAAAAATCTAGTTTCCACATAGCACGGCCACAACAAAATCGAGCCGCTTTAAGACACCATATATTAATTAAACTCTAAAAAATTATGAAGATAAAAAAAAAAAAAAATCATGTTTGCTTCATATTAAACCAAAATATCTTGTTTGAACTTGGCACATTTTGTGTCTTTCTCAGTATTCTTGGGTTGTTGGGAAGTGGCTAAGGATGAGGAGGACTGGAAGTAGTCCGGGGAGTGGCGAGGAAACTCCGATAGCATTTGAACAACTTCTCTCATTGTTGGCCTCTCCACACTGTGTTCTTGGATGCAAAGCGTTGCAATGAAGAACAAGTGCATTGCTTCATCTTTGGGTACAGATATTGCTAGCCTTGGATCAACAATGCTTGTAACATCTTCTTTTCGACAATTCGTGGCTTTCTTCGACCACTGCACTATGTCGACGCCTTCCCCGAACTCTCCCACTGGACGACGACCTGTTAGAAGTTCTAACAGAACAACCCCAAAGCTATATACATCGCTCTTCTCGTCCACCTTCAGTGTATATGCGTACTCTGCAACACATGCATAATAAACATCAATTAATATGACGCACTGCAAGATTTCATGTTTTGAAAGAATGAACAGCAAAAGAAGGCCAAGGTCCAAACTAGTTTTTGAGCCAGCTAAGTGAAGCCCAAACTAGACAAAACGAGCCATAAAAAGGCGATAGGTTTGGGGATGCAAGTTGCAAGGAAGAGACCAAAAAAAAGAAAGAAAAGCAAAGCAGCTGAAAAAAGAGAGAGGGAGGTGTGTCTCTTTCCACGTAATAACAAGCCCACTTTGTTGCTCTAAAACAAAAGCCTAAAAAGATTGCAGTGGTGGTGGTGGGCATGTCGGGTTAGCTTTCACGACACTCGACGCCCGTTGTGTTAGACATCACTGTCAGACTGTTGTGTTTTGTGCGTCAGATTGACCTCTCATATTTCTGATATCAGAATTGTACATACAGCATACAATAAATTATTAAATCAAAAGTTTTTAAAAAATAAAAAAAAATGGACCCCCACAATAAGCTGAGGATCGAGAGGTCCTCCAGGCACAGAATTTAGAGGCAGTTTGTGTGTTTTGTGGTTACCAAGAAAATTCCATGCATCATCATCTTCTTTGCCTCTCTCTCTCTCTCTCTCTCTCCTCTGTGGCTGGCTCAAATCATGGTGGTTTTTTTTTTGTTGGCATGTCATTTTAGCAATTGGGTTTTGTGCGTACTGCAGATAAAATCTTGGTGCATGGCTTATGGTTATGGATTTCAAGAGATTGTGTAGTGCGGGGATTTGTTTGTGATATATATATATATATATATATATTACACATTTACCCAAAAAAAGATAGATATTAGGGAATCACAACTCAAAAATCAATGTGTCAATGGAAGCATACACGAATCAATCAATAAGATTTTGTTTTGCTTTCCAAAATTCTTTCTGCATGTACTATATTTTATGTAGAGAGAGAGAGAGAGAGAGAGAGAGAGAGAGAGATAAACATGTAGTAATAATTTATAAGCATAAACAAATAGTAAAACCATTTTGTTTGATTATAATTTTTTTGGAGATTACAAAAAAACTCAAGGCCAGCCACCTCAGTGGACCCATATACTTATTCAAATGATTACACAGATATGCATATTTCTTATAGAAATGATGAAGCCACATAAAAAGAAATCATATTCAAAGGAATTTTTTTAAATTATTCTATACAAAATAGAAGACTAGTACTAGGCATGATAGTATTTACTAGCCAGAGTTTATAAACACAAAATTTATAACATGAACCCGAAAACTAATTATGTTTTGATTTTTTTAAATGAAATTCTTAAGTTTTTTTTTTGTCAGCAATTCTTAAGTTTATGCATGGCTATTTTATGATTTTTTTTTTTTGTTGTTGTTGTTACAATGACTAATTTCATCACCCTTTTTTTTTGGGAGCTAGATTGACACCATCAGGCTACTTCGTTGCTCGGATCGATAATCTGAAACATAAGAACTGAAAACTGACGGTATGATTGTCTAATGTCATGACCCCAAAAGTACCAGAAATTCACAGATTAACTAACTTAACTACCATACCAACTAACTTTTGACTCTACACAACCTACACCAAAAAGCTTGGAAAAAAAATTCACAAATTGGTAAAATTTATAGAGAGGAAGAAATAATGTACGTACCAGGTGCAATGTAGCCATAAGAGCCTGCAATTGCAGACATACACTCAGATGTTCCACCATCAATCAAGAACTTAGCGAGCCCGAAATCAGCAACGTGCGCTTCGAAGCTCGAATCGAGCAAAATGTTGTTTGATTTTACATCCCTGTGAAGTATCAATGGAGAACAATCATGGTGAAGGTAGCACAGGCCTTTGGCAGCTTCAATGGCAATTTTGTACCTCAAATTCCACCCCAAGAATCCTCCCTTTTTCCCATGCAATGCCTCCCCCAAGCTTCCATTTCTCATGTACTCGTAAACAAGCAGATTGGTTTCTTTGTTTGAGCAAAATGCCAGCAATCTCACAATGTTTCTGTGCCGAATGTTGCCTAAGGTTTGAATTTCTGCTCTGAAGCCGTGATCATGGCTGTTTGGTCCAAAACCAAGGAGTTTTTTTACAGCAATTTCAACCCCATTTATCCCATCTTTCACGCATTCGAGGATGTCGAAGATTGTGAATTCCAGCTTCTGGAAGGAAGTCATTTTCCATGAATCCGGGCCGTTTCTTTTGAATGATTTGGCCTTGATTATAGCAGCAGCAGCAAACACCAGTGAGCATATTAGCAGGCCTAATGCGAAGATCAGCTTGAAATCCGCGGGGGGTTTTCGCGGTGTGTTTGTGATTGCGGTGAAGTTGCAAGGATTGTTTAGGAGTGAACCGCAAAGATGGGGATTGCCCGCGAAAGCAGAGGCATTAAAGAAGGCAAACTGCCCTGATTCAGGTAGCTTTCCTGAGAAATCATTGAAGGAAAAATCAGCAATTGTGAGGCTCTTCATGGTGCCTATTGATCTGGGAATGTTTTGGTTCAAGTGATTTCTTGATATGTTCAAGTAATTCAGGATGTGAATGCTGGAAATTTCTAGTGGGATTGAGCCAGAGAGGCTGTTCTGGCTCATGTCAAGGTAGGTGAGATGGAAACAGTTTCCAATTTCTGGTGGGATTTCACCAGAGAGCGAATTTCTGCTAAGATCAAGTTTTAGTACTTGATGGAGTTGGCCTATTGAAGGTGGGATTGGACCAGAGAATTGATTTCCACTAAGTAGGAGGATTTGGAGGGAAGAGAAATTCGAAAGCGAGTAGGGTAAAGGACCGGATAGGAGGTTGTCTGCCAGATTAAGCTGGCCTAATTTGGCCGGCTCCAATGAGCCATTAGAATTCTCTAGCAACATTCCAGATAGGTAATTGTTTTGCAACTCTGCCAAGCTCAGCAGAGGCAAATAAATTAAGCCATTTGGTATGCTACCATTTAAGTAATTCTGCCCCAGCCTTACTCTAGTGAGACTAGAACATGCCCCTAAGGCTTCAGGGATTGGACCAAAGAGAAAGTTTTTCAAGAGAATTAGTATTCTCAGCTGATTTGATGAACACAAGTTTGGTGGGATTTTACCGGTGAGCTTATTCGATGACAAATCGAGCAGTTGAAGCTTCCCATTCTGGCCAAGCTTCTGTGGAATTATGCCGGTGAAGTTGTTCATCCACAGCCCCAGAGTTTCCAAGTTAGGCAAATCCGCGACGTAGTCTGGGATTGAGCCATGCAATCTGTTCATGAAGAGGTTGAAAAGCTTGAGCTGTTTGAGATTGGCAAACTCAAATGGGATTTCACCAGTCAGTGCATTGTTGGAGAGGTCAAGATTGACCAAGTTTGTCAAGTTGCCTAGCTGCCTTGGGATTGAGCCTGAGAGCAGATTGATGTGCAAGTAAAGCGTGTCGAGCGCCTTCAAATTCCCCAGCTCCCGGGGAATTGGCCCGTCTAATTCACAGCTTGAGAGATCCATGTGAACCAGATTGACCAATTTCCCAAACTCCTTTGGAATCCCACCTTCAAAAACGTTGTAGTAGCCCAAGTAAATCTCTCTCAAGTTAGTGAGATTGCCCAAGTCACCTGGAATTTCTCCATTAAGATCATTGCCTGCAAGTGACAAGTACTCCAAGCTGGCCAAATTCCCATATGATGCTGGGATTTTTCCATTGAAAAAATTGCCTCCAAGATCGAAGTACCTGAGCTTCTTCAAGCTCAAAATCCCAAGTGGAAGAGAAGCGGTGAAGTTGTTGTTATAAGCATCAAACACTTCCAAGTTGGCAATGCTTGAGTAGTTCCAATCCAAGCTCCCACTGAATTGGTTGTTGGATATGTTGAGGAACTGAAGGTTTGTGAAGTTGGCAATGGCAATGCTGCCTGCGAAGTTGTTTCCTGCAAGAGAGAGGTCGGTGAGCCGGTCGAGGCCTGAAATCAGAGGAGATACAGAGCCAAAAAGATTGAAATCTGTTAAGTCCACTGCAACAACTCTTCCTCTATAGCATCGAATTCCAGCCCATGAACAAACTGATCTTGGAGATGAAGAATTCCAAGTGCTTAAAGCCAGTTCGGGGAATTGGAAGCCGTGCTTGAGTGTGACCAAGACATGAAAATCACTGACCAAAGAAGAAGCAAAGCAAGAGGTGCCAAGAAGAGAGAAAAATGTCAAGACAATGAAAGGAAGGACCATGATGGTTTTTTTCTTTTCCTTCTTTTTTTCTTGGGAAAAATATTCAAGACAAGTGGGTTTGGAAGTATTCAAAGAGAAGATGAAGGGATTTAAGCATTTGGGTAGTTGTGGATTTTCCGGAAAAGGAAGGCAAAGTAAGAGGAATCTGAGAAACTTCAAGTGAGTATGGGGTTGAGGAATCAAACATCTTCAAAAAGAAAGAGTCTTCAAATGCAAGGAAGAAACTATGCCTCTGCTTTTCTCCTTTTTCTCTCTTTCTTTTCTTTTCTGTTCTGTTCTTTTCTTTTCTTTCTCTTTGAGAGAAGAGAGGAAGATTGAAATTCTGCTGGGACTGGACTGGTGTGTGTGTGAGCTCCCTTTCTATATTTCTCTAAGTCATTAGCCTTCTTCTTTAGACAAAGCTAAGATGGAAAAAGTGGAAGAAGGTTTGTTGAAAACATTATTAAAAATAAAAATAAAAATTTGACAATAAGATGGAAAATAAGAAGGCCGTTGGATAACAGAAATTTAAAGTTAAGATTTGGGGAGGAAAAGTAAAGTTGATGATGCACTCTCTTTCTTTATTCATATGACAAAATTGCCCTTTAGCTTTAATCAAAGAATGGTCTTTATTGCTTTGAATGAGAAGAGTGGCAATGGAACTGCACTTTCAATCATTGAAAATGGTTCCATTGTCTTGAAGATTTTGGTGACTATCCGCTGGTAACCTCATTTTCCAAGCACCATGATGTGCTTGTGAGGGGAAAATGAAAGGTGAGGAAAGCATTTAATGCCTGCCAATGCTGCAAATGTTGTTTTTTTATTGCCTCAAAGCCTATACTTATTGCCTCGTTGGTTTATTTGGACCGAAAAATCATCAAAATCTTTGGTATTGAGATTTCTCACTCCTATGAACCAGGACATGGTAAAATTCGGACGTGCGGATTCTACATTTCTATTACCCTTTCCTGCTTTCTTTATTGTTTACAATGACATCCACACGATAACAATATGCGGATGAGAGAATAACTATATGTATATGTTGTGCTTGGCTTGTTAAAACCTCATGGACTATAATTTTTTGCATATCACTTTTGCCAACATATAAAATAAAAGATTACCAAATTGCTGTCAGGATGTTTTAAGAATATAGAAAAACTGTTTGGATAATTTCCAGAAAGCAATAGTACAGCTAGGTAGCATCTTTTGTTGTTCATCTTGTTATAAAATTCATATGTGCATCAGTGTGCCATGCATATAAAGAACCCATCAAATCAAATAGTTATAATACAAATACAATGTATCAGATATATAGCAGTCCTGCTTGCCTCATCATGTCATGACAATCTGTAAGCATCAAAGTGTGCTTCATCAATCAGTCAAACCCAAAATCGGATTTAAAAGCTGCAGAATTCCATTGTGGATTTGTCATCCTAAAAACAACCCAGGAAGAAAAAAAACTAAACTAAAAACAAAAAGAAGGGGTAATTCCCCATGTAGACTGATTATCTTGAGGTTGGAAACATGTGCCTGCAAGATGTACAGTGGTTGTAAGAAGTAAAAGATGAGTGATTATTAATATATCATTACCATGTTGTTGTTGAATGATCAATATATAATTATGTTGCATGGAATATGGAACCACTGGAAGCTTTTCTGTGCAGCTTTATTCCTTCTCCTTCTTTGCCCTAGAGAGGCTGCCTGGGACCAACTCTCTATGCTAGATGGTTTTTAAGGGCTTTATTAGAAGATGGAATAGTCTTAAAGAGAGGGCTGAAAAGTAAAAGCAGAGATGTATAATCTGCTTTTGATCTTCCACTTCAAAAGAAAAGCAAATTAAAGAACAGAAAAGAAAGGAAGAAAAAAAATAATCCATGACCCCCCTCTCCGTCCTCCTCCTCCTCCAAATTCACATGGAAAAGAGTGCTCTTGTATTAACTTGAAGAATTCATAATCTCTCTCTCTCTCTCTCTCTCTCTCTCTCAAAAAAGAAAGAAAGAAAGAAAAATCCATGGCCCCTCACGCATGGGAAAGAGCGCTCTTGTATGAACATGAACTCTCTCTCTCATGTGGGCTTTGTCATACAAATTACAATACAATAGTGGCTGTCTTGGCTTCATGAGAAGGAGGGGGCTGATTGGGTGGAAGAAAGAAGAGAGTGTGCTCTTTTTGAGGTGTCTTAATCTGTCTTATTGATGGGCAGGCCTGCCCTTTTGAAGGGTCACTATCTTGTGGCCTTGGCTTGACTATAAACCCTAATGTGGTCACTCAAATGCGTAGCTTGGTAATGGCATAATTGGAAGTCTCATGTTTTGTAGTTAAATTCCAAGAGGGAACATCTCAGTACTTTGCTTTTGTCTATAACCTTTAAATTTAGAGACAATAATACTAAGATCCAACAGAGGGATTTGATTGGTAATCAAAGATTTGCACAATATTGAGATACTTTTTTTTGTGTGTGATAAATTCAGTGCCTACCATAGATTGGAAGACTATGGGTCCATTGGTGTGCATCACATTTGTTTAATTTTGTCAATATCTGAAAGGAGTTACATTTATCAAATGTTTTTTTTTTTAATCTTACCGATTAAGAAAATATATAATTCGAACTTAAGACATTTTCCAACATTAAAAAGAGTATTTAGAAAGTTGTGTAACGATTTATCCGAATAGTCACATGTCATAATTTTGGTGAATTAATAATACAATATAGCAGTGCTACCGTCACATATATAAAAGTATCTCAATGATTGTTTGTGGAATAACAATATAGAGTACTTGTAATAGATAGAACAGCTGCTATATAGCAATAATAACTGAGAAGAAAACGTGGGACTGCAAATTTTCTGATAATTGACTTTCGGTGGCACTACCAAATTGTCCAAAAGAAAGAATCATGTTCTCTTCTTTCCTTTAGGGAAATTTAGTAGCTTTGTTATCTCATTATCTAGCTGAAAGAATGCATCTTTGTTCTCTCATTTAATTAATGTTTTTTTTAAAAACAAATATAAGTTATAGTTGATGAGGGTACTGTGTCTGTTCATTTGCACTCAAGTTTTGAATTCCTTATGACATACATTATAATAGTTTACAGTGGTTTAGACTATCATACATAAAAAAACATAAAAAACTAGACTAGATCTTTGGCTATATTCTAAAACCCTAGCCCCCTTTCTCCCAAAAAACACTCTAGAGTCGTTTTCACTTTGAGGGGGGAGGAAGCCACTATTCGTCCTCCCCTCTCTCCTCCTCTCTTCCTATCATCTCCCTTCTCATCTCTTCCCCCATTTCCAAAGACATAAGGTTTCCCCTATTTGTCCTCGCTTTATTGCTATTTTGAAAATTTCACAAAATACTCCAAAAATCCTATAAAGATTTTCTAATACAATTTCCAATATGGAGGGTCCTGAACTCAAATTTTGGGACCCTAAAATAATGACACAAAGGGTCCTAAACAATGTTTCCTCCAACCCAGCAGTCCTAAACAATTTGAGACTCTAGCTTTATTAATGGTTTAAACGTAATTTATTTACAAACATTTATTTAATTCATCGTAATTTATTTTTACAAACATTTTAACCAAAATAAAACACAATTTATGAATAAAATTTATTTCATAAAAACGAGTACAACAACAAAGTACACACAATGTAAAATTTTTAGTGGTTATTCCAATGGACACACAATGTAACCCTTTGTTTACCTCGTCAAAGAAAAGAATAAACTTTTTATTAAAAATATATATATTCAAAGGAGCAATTAGATTAAACCAAATAGTGAAATGAATTAAAGTTTTTGGTTAATTAACTCTTATTTTGAACAAATTTTACAGATACGAAGCATGGTAAAACCAAAATTATTCCGAGTCAAAGAAGCACCTGAGATTTTCTTGTATTAACACTGAGATGAAGAATATGAGAAAATGATTGAATATCTATATAAGGACAGTCAAAATGGTTGAAGTTGGTGCCAAGTTGAAGTTTGAACTAAATAAGGGTACACGACATCATGATTACAATCTCACATATGAAACCAATGTTGGGACGGAAAGAGCATTATTGTCCTTTTTGACTAGGAGGGAGGGAGAGGAACCCAATTCATGAAAGCCATGGCAGAAGCAATATTTCTTCACGCTTGTAAACCTTTCATTGGATTTGGAAAAACACTTTGGCGATGCCCCAAAGAAAAGAGCTTTCCTCATCAAAAGATAGCGAGCTTGTGTTTTACTTAAAGGAACATCTTCGATATAATGGGGCAAACTTGTCCTGTGGATCGCTTGTCTGCATTTTCCCTTAATAAAGGAAATTCAAAATTAAAGGGAGAATAAAGAGGATAAAGGGGAAAGAGAAAATTGATAATTTTTAAGGATAAAGTACAGTGTCAGCTCGTTTACCAAGCAATGACATGGATGTGGCTCGTTGTCGATTATATTTAAAGCAGCAACGCTAAATACAATCGACAACGAGTAATAAAAATGAGTGAAGATTTGAAGTTTAGAACTAGCTAGGATTACGTAAAAACTCTGTAAAATCATATATATTTCTAAACTGATATTAGCACACAATTAATTGCCTTAAAAATATGCCAAAGACATTTACATGGAAAACCAAATTAAAGACTCCTTAAAATGCCAAGGATAAATTGTGTTGTTTTGCTGTTAATTTATTTTATTAATTTTTATTTGGTATTAATTTATTTTTATTCTCCAACAAGGATCCTCTCCTATAAAAATCTCAAAGGTAGAAGCCAATATAAAAAAATTATGTACGTGTGGGGGGAGAGCTCTTTCGGGATTTGTCACTATCATTCTCAAGCACATGCAATGATGCAAGCAACAAACTAGATTTCATATAATTCTTACAAAATCTTAATTTGAGCAGAGCCTTTGATGGTTTTTTTAAAATCAATATTAGAGAATTTCATGGCCCTGCCATTACCCCAACAAGCGACCAAGATTATGTAGCAAAGATACGCAGATTTCTTTATGCAAGATTTTGTGCAAGTTTTTTGTCCATTGCATGGAAAAGTTGCTTGTTCGTAGCGTATTCAATTGATACATGCATGCAAAAGCTATACGCACAGAACCTCTTAAATCTGCAAAATTTTGTCTTCATTTGGTTAAGTTTGCTTTTAAAAGGTTTTGCTTTTCTTTGTTTTTATCGATAACAGTACTTTGAGGACCAACATCACTAGCTTGGAACTAGCTAAAGTGAGTGGGATATGTTGCCCGCACCTCTCTCTGTATGTATGTGCAATATATATATATATGCTTTGCATATGAATGATAAAATCTGGTCCGCACTCGTTATCCGATCAGATCCCGAGCCTTTATATTTAAAGTTTGTAAATTTATTTACATTTCTTTATATTTAAACTATTTTATTCTTAATTTATCCATTTATCAAGACACATTATTAAGCTTTGAATTTAGTTTTTTTTTTTCCTTTCTAAATTGACGTTAACCTTGAAACCGTTAGTTTGTTTTGAGTATTATTTTTTTTTCCTTCGCCCAATAATTTATTTAGAATTGAAAGAGAATGAGAGAAGGTATCCCGTCAATTGCTTGTTTACTTTTGTAAATCCAAATCTCTCTTTCACATATTCTCGATCCACGCTTTAGCATTGACAAAGTCGATACCACAATTTCTACACTCTTTAAAACAAAATTATACAAGTGATACTGAGAATAGGAGAATCGAACTTAGGACTTCGGGTGCATGGGTAAATGCTCTTAAGCACCCTCTTAAGTTAATATTTCAAATATATCATATATCTTACTATACATGAATCTTTTTTTAAATCTCATTATTAATTGGATGATCATTAGCAAAGAATTCTACACATTCTAATTGCAGCTTAAGTTTCTATAAAATAAACAAATTGACAAAAGTTATATTACCATGTGTGAAAGCATTTATCTTCTTTTGAGTTTATGATACTTTATAATGAATGTGGTAATAATATAAACAACAACAACAACACTAATAATAATAATTAATTAATTAATTAAGAGATATATGCGCATGACGTATATATACAACTTAAACTTTATAATTAAATTTGCCCCAAAGTCAACTTGCATGATAGTGAAAGTGAATAGAAATGTTATATTCTTGAAAAATGACTACATAACATTGTAGTGTGATAACATAATGCCAATTGCCAATGTAATATCCTAGGTTTGAACTATATTGGAGTTTAATACAAGTTACTTCTTATGAGTCTTATTTTTTTTAGATAAAACCCGTAAGATACAATAAGTTAGATTTTTATTCAATTTATTAAGTCGAGTCCTAACATACCGAACAACACTCATGATACTTGTCTAAATTAATTGAAATAGATCAATCTAGTTAATTTGACTAAGATAGTGTCAAGGGCTTTAGTCATACCTTGAAATTTACAATTCTGATTGCCATTATTTAAGGTCCACTTTCACTAGAGAAGGAGATTTAATTTGAAAAATTATTATTGTTGTGGCTGAAACAAGTGCTATTCGTGTCATTTAAGTTGTTAATCCTATGTGTAATCTTATCGTAATATTCGTGTCATTTCCAAAGAGAATCTAGCGACATAAGATTTGAAAAAGAAATAATTAATTAGCCAAAAGAGGGAGGATGTAGTCACTGACATAGATAGATAGCTAGCTAGTGGATGACATATCTATGACTATGAAACCCTGATAATAAATTAATAATAAAATATTCAAGGTCTGCGCCTAGGTGGATCATGTGGTTCATAATAATTATATTTCCCATTTGGAATTTGACATCATGGCTTTGGATTGAGGCTCTCTTCTGTCAACCTGGCACTGGTGGAATTCCAAGTCATGTTGAAATGGATTTAACCATCTTTGTCGTCTAGATATCATTGCCACTCATGCTAGCTCCTGTGTTAGTCATGAGTCATGCATAAATATATATATAATATTACCCTATGCTGAAAGCATATATTCAACGATCTCCCAAAATTCAGATTTGATTTCTTATTAGAAAGTTCTAGCAAGTGGACACCTCCAGTAAAGCAATTGTTTGTATTTTGCATCCAATTAGAGATACTTTAAGACCAACTCCAATATAATGATGTAAATTTGGGATGTAAAAATGACATTTACATCTCGTGCATGAATTATTATTTTTGTTCATTTTTTGTTGGCCTAAGGAATCGACCTAAATTTTTTTAAAATTCCGATAAGATATAATTTTCTCCGATATGAACCATTATATAGTACAATTTATATTGAGTTCCTTGTATGACTGCAATGAGCCAACAAAACTTGTTCGACTCCGATTCGAAAGATGAAAGAATATTTTTGTGCCACTCTTATGTATAATGCATATAAATTTCAAAGACAATTTTGAATGATACCCTCGCTGTTGAATCGAATCCTAAAACAAGTCGTCAATTTCTGCAGTTACTTCTTGCAAACCTTGGTTCGTCCAGCCACCAAAAGTTGACAACCCCCCTTACAATATACGAATCAAGTTTAAACTTAAGATAATTTTCACACAACATGAAACTGACATGACACGAAAACATTAGAAACCCTAGGGTTCATCATATGGCCCGCAGCCCCATGGGCCGACTTGAACCCATGAGTTCACAACCCACCCGGGCTAATAGCTTTAAGCCGGTCGACTTGGCCTGAGTTTTTTACTTGGCATTGAATCGACCAAGGGTTTAAAACCTAGGCTTGGTATATAGCCCAACTCATTTGAGTATGATGAAACTCAAGCATGGCCGGGCTTGGGTCGACGTAATGAAACACAATCATGGTCCAGCTCAGCCTTAAAAAATGACTAATACCTAAAAGTCCAGCCCAAACCCAACAATTTAGGGCCGGGCCTGCACAATAATGAACCTAAGTTAACCTTGCTAGGTCTACATTTACCCTTTCTTGCCTTTCTTGAGAGTACAGATCCGACGGATTTAATCACATAATCAATCAAATCGTAGCCGTGGGTTCCACTTTAAAAGCAGTGCATTTAGGGTTTCCTAGTCTCACTGAAACCAAGACATTCCTGGTTGCGGCTCTTGGTCCCTGCCATCTTCCCTCTCTTATCTCGTTCCATAGGTAACATCGTTTAATTTCTCTGGAATTCTGACCAGAGACTTACTGAATTACTTCTTCTTATTGCTTTGCATCATATAATTGTTCTTGTAAATCATGAAAATGGGAGTTTTCAACTCATTTTTATTTCTCTCTGTTTATTCCGTACACAGAATTTGGGGTTTGAATCTTAACTTAAATCGTATATACATTGATATATGATGTATTTATGTTGACGTGTTCTTGTTGTATGCTACAATGAATAAAATCTTTCAAGTCGTTTTGCGGTTTTCAATTATCAGTGTAAGATTGTTGGCTTATTTTGGGGTGTCAAGGAAGTTTCATATGTGTTAGGTGTGATTTTGAATTTTACTTGTTGCCCTTATCCTTGAATTGAGCACGTGTGAAATACTACTATTTTTCTCTGTTGGTGTTGTGAGATGGCTTCCCCACGAGAACATTGTGAGTAATCAAGGCTGGAGTCTCGAGAGGGCTCTATTTTTGCCAAGACCCTAATTTGGGTTTTGGAAAGAAATACCAAGGAGCCCGAGAATTGGCATTGTTTTGGTGCCATAGGCCTTTGGTTGTGGGGAGCATTTCATGTCATCTACCGAAGAAGATGGTAGTGTTTTACATCGTTTTCAGTTTAGTGGTACTTGGACAATTTTACATGGTTTTATGATGTCATTCTTTTAATTACTGTAAAAAATGATTTGATCCTTTTTCCTTATAAAAGGGTTTTATAATACAAAAATCTTCTGTAAGATTTTGGAGTTTCTAATGGTAACAATTCTTTGGATAGTTTATTGCGGTTGATGTCTCACATCTCCCCTCAACTTCCAATCAGAAAATCAAATATTGCTGCTATGTCATGATGAGTTTTGCTTTTTGATATTTCAAAATATTTGATTAATTCTTTTGACTTGAAGATGCTTGAATTTGTTTGCACCATGGTAAGAATATCTGAGGTTTTGGAGTTTTGTAGACCTTATTTTAAAGAGGAAGCATGTCTCATCGCAAGTTTGAACACCCAAGACATGGCTCTTTGGGATTTCTTCCAAGGAAAAGAGCAGCCCGCCACAGAGGAAAAGGTTTATACTGCTTTAGCAGCTGTTATTGTGTTCTTCAATAGTTTTATATCCCTATGGAATGCCATGAATTACCTTTATCATATTTTAATTTGTGTTATGCTAAGATTACTATTATGTGACTGTATAGAGTTGAAGTATAGAACTCATGTGGTGTGGTATGGAGTAGAATTTAATTAGAACCTAACTTGACGACTTGTATCTTAGACATTAGATCAGGTATGGATACATGGGATGCATGGTGGGTAATGACGGGTAATATTCCCTGTAGAAGTTCTAAGTTCCTCAACATGTGTCCACATTGGAATGCTACTGTATGCATTGTTGGCTGTGTTTGTCGATTAGTTGGACGAAGTTACATAATGAAATTTTGCATCTTCTGATTTTTTGTTGTTGTTTGTGATAGCATTTTTCCTGTATGTCACTATTATTTGTGCAATTATAAGATCTGATTGACCGAAAGTTTTCACTGGGATTACATGGGTACTTTTGCAGTGAAGGCCTTCCCAAAAGATGATCCAACCAAATCTTGCAGTTTGACTGCTTTCCTGGGATACAAAGCTGGAATGACCCATATTGTGAGAGATGTTGAAAAACCAGGATCAAGTTAGTTTCCCTATCATTTTACGATTGTGATTTAGCATACTCTGAAGAAAAATTGTCTGATGAGAAATGTTAGAATATGATGCTAACATTTTTCACCGTTTAATGTCTGAAAAGTGCATTGTGAATGGATGTTTGATTGGTACAAGAAGCGTTTATTTGGAAAATGGAAATGACATACACATGCCACTTGGAAAATAATGCATAGATGCCTTATTTATTCATAGTTTCTATCTGCTTTCAATTTTCGCGAATTGTTGTCCCTTCTTAAAGTAAAGTATACACACTTTTTGTTTTGGAAATGTAGTTTGTAGTGTTTGAAATCGAAATAAGGTATGCATGCCTCACAGAATGATCTATTTGCTGTTTTATTATCTATTTTCTATATTTGATCATGTTATCTTTTTTCTGTATTTATTCATTATTACCCCATATACTAAAAT